TATTAGAGAGGTGTGCGTATTAGAGGTGTGCAGACGTATTAGAGAGGTGTCTGTATTAGAGAGTTGTACGTATTAGAGAGGTGTGCGTATTAGAGGTGTGAAGACGTATTAGAGAGGTGTCCGTATTAGAGAGGTGTACAGACGTATTAGGGAGGTGTCCGTATTAGAGAGGTGTACGTATTAGAGAGTTGTACAGACGTATTAGAGAGGTGTCCGTATTAGAGAGGTGTGCGTATTAGAGGTGTGCAGACGTATTAGAGAGGTGTCTGTATTAGAGAGTTGTACGTATTAGAGAGGTGTGCGTATTAGAGGTGTGAAGACGTATTAGAGAGGTGTCCGTATTAGAGAGGTGTACAGACGTATTAGGGAGGTGTCCGTATTAGAGAGGTGTACGTATTAGAGAGTTGTACAGACGTATTAGAGAGGTGTCCGTATTAGAGAGGTGTGCGTATTAGAGGTGTGCAGACGTATTAGAGAGGTGTCTGTATTAGAGAGTTGTACGTATTAGAGAGGTGTGCGTATTAGAGGTGTGAAGACGTATTAGAGAGGTGTCCGTATTAGAGAGGTGTACAGACGTATTAGGGAGGTGTCCGTATTAGAGAGGTGTACGTATTAGAGAGTTGTACAGACGTATTAGAGAGGTGTCCGTATTAGAGAGGTGTGCGTATTAGAGGTGTGCAGACGTATTAGAGAGGTGTCTGTATTAGAGAGGTGTACAGACGTATTGGAGAGGTGTCCGTATTAGAGAGATGTACAGACGTATTAGAGAGGTGTGCGTATCAATTAGAGAGATGTGCAGACGTATTAGAGAGGTGTCTGTATTAGAGAGTTGTACAGACGTATTAGAGAGGTGTCCGTATTAGAGAATTGTACGTATTAGAGAGATGTGAAGACGTATTAGAGAGGTGTCTGTATTAGAGAGTTATACGTATTAGAGAGATGTACAGACGTATTAGAGAGGTGTCCGTATTAGAGAGGTGTCCGTATTAGAGAGGTGTCCGTATTAGAGAGGTGTACGTATTAGAGAGATGTACAGACGTATTAGAGAGGTGTCCATGTTAGAGAGGTGTGCAGACGTATTAGAGAGGTGTCCGTATTAGAGAGGTATACAGACGTATTAGAGAGGTGTCCCTATTAGAGAGGTGTACAGACGTATTAGAGAGGTGTCCGTATTAGAGAGGTGTACAAACGTATTAGAGAGGTGTCCGTATTAGACAGGTGTGCAGACGTATTAGAGAGGGTGTACGTATTAGAGAGGTGTACAGACGTATTAGAGAGGTGCCCGTATTAGAGAGGTGTACAGACGTATTAGAGAGGTGTACGTATTTGAAAAGTGTACGTGTTAGAGAGGAGTGCATATTAGAGAGGCGTACGTATTAGAGACGTGTATGTAACACGCTTTATAAATATATATATTCTATCCATAATAGGTTTTGGTGGCTCTAAAAAGTACCACTGGTTTATCCCATGTTTTGGTCGCCACCGATATGGGTGACTACGGTTCCGCTTCGCTTGTCCGTTATCGGCACATGCAACATCTCGACGGAAACTTCTTCAAACTTATCCATGATCATATAGTTGAAAAATCCCAAGGGATGACTTACAACCCTGCGTCTCACGTACAAGATCGCGGCGTGATAGCACTGGTTGATCTGACTTTGATCTCTCGCGCGCAGTATCTTATAAGCGCCGGGAAGGGCACATTTCAAGAGTGGATTGGAGCGAAGTTCTTAGAGAATCATCGTAATGATGCACAGTTATGGTCAAAAATTACTGTGTGTACATAACGGGTGGATATGGCAAATACACTGACAGGGCCGTAGCTAGAACGATAATGGGCCTTTCGCCTTTTGACTAAAATTTAGATCTCAACAAGTCTAGACAAAATTTCATCACAGCTTGAAAGAGCATCACAAAATTAGTAATATTCCGAAGTTTCGTTGCGAAATGTTGTAAAATGCAGACAATATGGCCCTGCGAAGTTTGCAATTTTCAGTCATATTGTATTACGCGCGGGAAATACATACCTCCTTCGGAAAAAGGGTATTTTTGTATCGTTTGTAATACAATATGACTGGAAATTGCAAATTTCGCAAGGCTATATTATCCACATTTTACAACATTTCGGAACGAAACTTTGGAATATTACTAATTTTGTGATGCTTTTTCAAGCTGTGATGAAATTTTTGTCTAGACTTGTTGAGATCTAAATTTTAGTCAAAAGGTGAAAGGTCCATTGGGGGGGGGGATATATACATATATTCGTGTTCTGCCCCACGGATTTCTTTTGAAATCGATTGTTTTTACGGTATGTAAACATTAATATATGAATATACCCCCCCCCCCCAATTATCGTGTCTAGCTACGGCCCTGAACACTGACTGATTGAAACGATACTGGCGCCGGCTAACATCGAAGACTCTTGTGCTGAAATTCAAGAGGAAAATGCCGAAATTGAAAAGGAATTCGAGAATGAAGTCGATGCTCCCAAATCATATTCGTAATTGATGCTTTTTAGGCCGTGCAGCTTGTAAGGACTCTGTTCGGAGTACTCCAGATTTTGGGAACACTAATGGAATGGAACAGAACACGATCACATGACTGTTCGGAACTGTTCTGGTGCTTCCAAAGTACACAGGTAAAAACGCACAAGTTGTTATAGTGGGGCGGATAAGCGAATCTATTGTGCGTTTTGTGAAGAAAGCACCATATTGAGAGGATGTGTAGACTTTGACACAAGTATGAATTTCAGATATGGAGGCATCTGTGAAATTAACGCTAATAGCCAAAAATTTGGAATTTCTGAATTTTATTATAAATTTTTATTAAGGCTCGAAATCTCAAAATTCAAAAGTACTTCACAAAAAAAATTAGTTCTGTGGCTTGAAAGTAGACAAAAAAATGTCTATAGAACATTAAAGCAGTTTTTTGATTTTCCAAATATTTCCTGAGCTGCAATGCAACCTGTTAAAAAAGGGGATTTGAAGCTAGTGCCAGTCTTTGCACCTAATTTTTATCTGTTTAAAATTTCTATCCGTCCAATCACACTGTACTTGTTATTTTGAAGGGTTAATTAACCGCACTATAAATATTGGCATATACTTATTATATGCTATTTGAACGCCAGGTTGGGCAAAATCAACGAGTAAAAACGTTGCAAAAGCATACTTAGATATATACAAAAAACAGCAAATCATTATACGATGTATTATGCGAATAACTAATGATATAGTAATGCATGGTTGCACGTAACTATTTAAAAAATAGGTACGCGACCGCGTACATGTATCTGCGCATTAAAGGTCCAGACACGCCGGACGCGATTCGACAACGCGACGCGATTTTTCGACTTTCACTGACCGATAACTTTGATCCAAGTTTAAATTTTCCAAATATTTA